GATCTATGTATATATTCATACACACACACACACACACACACACATATATATATATATATATATATGTAGTGTGTGTAGTTGTGTATTGCACATGTCCCGGTATACTGTTGATCAATTTTTTGTTGCGAATTGTTATCATATTCTTGTGCCGTCGTAGTAATATTAGGCATAAATAAGTATTAAGCTATTTTCTAGAACATGTCAACTCATATCTGTGTAGTAATGGCCCACCTAGTGTTCCGCACTTCGTGGTAAACCGATTGCACTGCGTCACAACCAATCCAGTGTTAGTAGGTAAATATCGTACTTCTTGTGACATACACTGACATGACACAATATATTGATTGTTTCATGGCGGCTTGATCAGGGTTAACCTGCATATGTGTTTCCAATAAAAGTACATGATAGCACAATGTAATGTATACAATGAAAGAGTTGTCCCATACTATAAATATAATTATATAGTTCTCCCATAAAATAGCCTCTCATTGCTCACATAAAATTCATCGTGCAGCATTCTCACGGGAACATGCCTCATTTCTATCTACTAACTACACCCGAACAACAAAAAGGGAGGACAAGCTCAAAAACAGGACACCTTAAAATCTGAGAGAGCTGAACAGTCTGACACAAGGGATGGCTCTGAAGCCGCAGACTCGGACGACGCCGATGAAAGGAATAGGGGAGGGAGTGACTCGGCCGATAGTATGAGTGTAGACGAAGCGTTGCAAGTAATGGATCAGCAACAGCACGTGCGGAACGGAAATGGCTCGGGCGTTATTGACCAACCAGCACAAGAGGAGGAGGAGGCGACTGCTGCTGAGAAAACAGCAGAAGTATTGCACAGGCCAGGAGAACGTACTATGAGTCCCTTGACAGGAGTGGGGAGTGGAAAGGTACGAGATGAGGCGGATAAAGGGCCTGGGGTCAAAGCGGTACTAAATTTGAAGGCGGATGCGGGGGCTGAAAGTGATGTGAAGTCTGTAGCCAATCTCGAGGACGATGATGGGGCTGAAAGTGGTGCGGATGCGGTTAACGGGAGAAATGAGGACACTCAGAATGATGTAGATACAGGAGAAACACGGGAGAAAAACGAAACCGAGCAGGAATTTAATGAGAAGTACAATAAGATGCTCAAGCAGTATTCTACACGGCCCTTGTTCAACCCGTTCTTGATGAGGTCACCACCAAGGAATACCGGGTATTGTGCTGAAGCCTCTGTTCTGTGCAAAGAACCAATTATGTTTAGTATAGGGGTGCTCTATCTAGGGGATACATTGTTTTTGGTGTAGGGGTGGATGTGAGGAGGT